CACTACTACATTGCATCAAAAAGTAATTGTTCTGTTCAGTTAAGTTCTGTTTCTGGTTCTCACAACCTGATCCCCCCTATTTTTATGGCCATTCATTTGAACTGAACAACGAATCAGTCCAATTAGTAAATGAATAATTTAATCACAGATCCGACTTAAAAGAATGATTCGTTTCGAACTTTCATGAACGTAATTAACACTGACTCGTGAAGCGATTCAAAAACTGTTTTAATCACCCATTAATATATTTTACAAAACAATCAGCTGTTGCCTTGCGTTAACCAGTTTTTATATAAACATATTAACTCATGTTGGGCAAACTACGTGTTTTATCCACGGGGTGGCGCCATTGTCTAAATTTGAATTTGACAACTAGAAGGTGTTCAGCGTCCAAACTTCAGCTAATATCACTGCAGGAAAGAGTTCATCGTAAACAGTTGAAATGGTTAAAAATGTACGCTTACAGATAGATGTTATCAGTGATTCTCTGGTTTATTGTTCACCATGTATGGTGTGCTAGCATGTATGAAAAAGCATGAACTAGCCTATCACCTATTGCATTGCTCAGGTGTTGTTCCCAATTCTGACCCCCTCGCCAGATTATTACCCACCTAGTATTGGAAGGTTTAGGATTAGGCACTTAAAGGAGTGGAGTAATAATTTGGCAGGGGGTCGAAATTGGGCACACCGGAAGTCTACAGGGCGAGTGAAATGCCTTATCGTTGGATTATGTCAGCAGGTAATTTAGACCGCGTCACGGTGATTTCATATAGATCCGTGTACACGTGAATAAACACTTAATTTAGACATTAGGCTCTGCCTCCACTAAAATACACAGAGCCAATAGGAAAAACCTACTTCGCGTGTTCTCAGACGTCATTTATTTGTTCCAGCTGTGGATGATAGCCAGTATTTTTCGTCTGTTGTGAAAGAGCAGGTGAACTGATTGCGGATCTGACACACACATGCCTGCAGCTACAGTCACTGACTTTCACTTCTGACTGACCGGCTGTCACACGGAGTCTAGTCGCTGTACCTGTGCCTTCAGTCCCACAAGGACATACACTGAAAAGTAAGTGCCTGCTACTTAGTTTTTACAATAGTCATTTTGAGTATTTGTAAGCCTGTATTGCGTGAGCAGAGTATTTGGTGTTGAATCGCTACTGTGGTTTCTTTTGCTGAACAGAATCATTTCTATCCAGTGAGTTCAATGGCAGGTTGTTTCGGTTCAACTTCACCTTCACAAAACTTTTTTTTTTTTTTTAATGTGTGTGTGTATTATAGTAGGCTATATATTTGGAATATTATGAATCAACCGCCAAAACATATCGGAGTCAATAAATCTGGTTAATTTATTGATGTGTTAAAACAATGTCAACACTGTTAATTTTACACCGTCCCTGAAAATTCTACACCAGTGATTTTGCTGTGTAGTAATGTGACGGATAGTGGCAAAATATAAAGATTTAAAATATAATTTAATTAATTTTTTGGGGCTACACTATATATAATCCTTAAATATATAAATTGAATATGTTCTAAATATGCCTGATATTTATTTTTTATTTATTTGTTGCTTTATAAACACCTTTTGTCTTTGACTCATATACTAATTGACACATTTAAGCATCCACATCTATCTATCGTAAACAACTGATGCAAATCACCACATTTTTTTTTCTAATTCTAACATTATTCTATTTATTCATAAAATTACTGTAGATATATAGAAATAGAATAAAAAAAACATTTGAAAGTATAAAGTCAGAAAAAAATGCACATTTGTAAAAAACAACCCTCAGTCTGTTGACACCAATGAAACGAGCTTTAAGTGTCCATTTACAGGAGATCTGAAGACATCAGCATAATAAATGAGGAGAAAACAGGAACTATTAACATGAAATAAAGAGTCTTTTCAGCAGCTCTGTTAATATTGATGAGTCTCAGATGATCAACACTCATTCAACAAGACATTCAGGACCATCAGCAGATCATCTCACTTTATTCTCAGTGTTTGCTGCTGTACACTGTAAAAACAAACCTATAGAATCTACTCAATAAAAGTGAGGTAACAATTTGCACTCAATTTGTTTGGGTAGATTTCATCCTATATTCTTTAGTAAAGAGTACCTGAATTTGACAGCTACGATATACTAAATGAAATTAGGTAAAGTCTACCTAATATTTCTCAATACATTACACAGCGAATTACTTATAAAAATTAAGTAATAATAACTTTATTATTAGCAGAAAACAGTTAATCTACTTAATTATTATTAATAATAAGTCAATAGAAATAATTAAACCTTACTTATTCAGAGATGGTTAAGTTTATCTAAAAATTGCCAGACACAGTAATTCATTGCTCAATAAATTATTCTTTATTGACTAAATATACAGATAAACATTTCATTCTTTTAAAAACAATACTTAAAGGGATAGTTCACCCAAAAATGAAAATTATGTAATCATTTACTCACCCTTCTGAATTCTTCTATTCTGATGAACACAAAAGAAGGTATTTTAAAGAATGTTAGCAATCAAAAAGTTGACGGTAGCCATTGACGTCCATTATATAGTGAAAAAATAATAATATGAAAGTTAATGGGGCCCATCAACTATGCACTATATACAGAAGTACACTGTAAAAACAAACATATAGAATCTACTCAATAAAAGTGAGGTAACAATTTGCACTCAATTTGTTTGGGTAGATTTCATCCTATATTCTTTAGTAAAGAGTACCTGAATTTAACAGCTACTATATACTAAATGAAATTAGGTAAAGTCTACCTAATATTTCTCAATACATTACACAGCGAATTACTTATAAAAATTAAGTAATAATAACTTTATTATTAGCAGAAAACAGTTAATCTACTTAATTATTATTAATAATAATGTCAATAGAAATAGAAAAAAAATAATAATATGAAAGTTAATGGGGCCCATCAACTGTATGGTTACCAACATTCTTTAAAATACCTTTTTGTATTCAACAGAACAAAGAAACTTATAGAAATATATAGAAAAAAAATCTGACATATATTTTTAGTTTATTTCATTTGAGTAAGATTAATTTAGTTTAGTAGGGCATGTAAAAGAGGAAGCTGCTTCTCTTCTCCTTTTCTATTCAAACGTCCGTTTGACCTGTTTTTAAATGGCATTCTTTTCATTGCTATTTAATAATCAAATGAATTGTTATTAAGAGTGCAGTTACACACTTTCAAAATGCTTGTATGTATATTATTGGACATAGAAACACCAGCAGAGGTGTGAATTCAACAGAACAAAAGAGAGAGATGAAGTAGAGACTCCAGAGGTATTTTCACACTTAAAATGTATTAATATCTTAACATTATAACAAAATATCAAACCAAATTTTTCAGGGAAAACAGCTACGTTTGTTCAAATTATAAAACATTATTGTTTTAACAATTAAAAAAAAATATTTGGACACTTTCTTGTCAAATGTTCCTGTCAAAATCACCTTGGGGCCAGTTGGCTTTAACGTTAAAATGTGAAGAGAAAAATTCTACCATCATTTGTTTGCAGATGCCATTGTGTCTCTACTGAAAAGACAACCAGACATTTTTAAGTGTCCAGACTTTTTGGTGGGCCAGTATGTCGTATTAAATACAGTCGTCGTTAGTTTTGGACCTTGTTATACATCACTTATTAGAAATATTATCATATATGAAATTTAAAGAAACAGTATTTTCATTATGTTTATTGTCACTTTATATGTTTATTCATTTGAGCTTTTATTTTGGACCTTCTAAGACTCATCTTAACTTTTTATTGAAAATGCAACTGCTGTTCGCTCTGTCTCGAGAGAGAGAGCTTGAGAGAGAGAGAGAGGGGTAAGGAGGAGGTAGAGAGATGAATGATTGGTTGTTCTCAGTGTGAGAAAGATAATACTCCCTTTAATGTTTCTTCAAGGCATCAGTGGCTTGTTCAGTAACCTGCACTTGAACTTGTGTGAAGTTTAGTAGATTTAACACCACTCGATTTTCACACCGTTTTCTTTGTCCGGATCTCATTGAGACTTTTAGGAATATAATGCAGACAGTGAATATTGGAAAACTGGAACTTCACCCTTTGGATATTCAACACATTCACCTTGTGGACTTTAAACGCAGAATTGTTTGCGCTCAACCTGAAGTTTGCTGTCTGGAGATGACAATCAAGCAAAATATTAAGGTTGCAACCTAACTAGTCATCTCAGTAACAAAGAACCAATGCAGAATCTTTATTTTTAAGAGTGGTGTAAATATAATACATTTTAATGCATTCAAAGGGTCAGTTATGTCTTTTTGTAAATAACTGTATTTGCAGTAGCACATTATTATTCAAAAACAACATAATGTAAACCTAATAAACATTAGAATGTGTCACAATGTCTATTATAAGATTATGCATATCTTTATGATGCACTGTAAATACAGACTTTGAGTCTTCGTGTAGTTTAACTCTGGTGAAGGTTGTTCTTTAACTAGTCCTGTGAGATTTGTGATTCACAGGACAGCCACAAAAACAGTGTCATCTTCCTCTGTGGATGAGCAATAACTTCCTGTCTTACAAAATCTCTTTTCCCTCATGAGGACATGATTCGCACTTCCTAATTATAATATTGTTTATTGCAAATTAAAGCTGTTTTTTTTTTTTTGCTATCCCATAAATGAAGGTAAAATAAAAATAGTGCAATTAATTATGACATAAAATTATTCCGTCAGAGCAATTCAAGCTGCAAGCACCACCTTCATGTTTTTGCAAGCTCGCATAGTTAATCAGCAAATAATAAAAATTATATGATTAAATTTGGAATCGCTTGACACCCCTATTACAGACTCGTTGAAATCACCTCAACAGATGTGATACAGTCCTGTTTTTACAGTCCACATAGCATTCAACACTTTGAAAGTCTGATAAACATTCATTGCATTTCTGTCTGTTTGGCTGGAACTTCCTCAATAACGGTCCGATCTGTTGGCAACTATAGTGCAGAAGTGCAGCATCCCTCTGAAGATATTGTCTGGATCCGACACTGCCAAGCGCAGTCTGCCAGTTGTGTGTCCTGCACACTATGTACTCCAACACCCTCATTTGTCAGAAGTTAGTCCATGTGTTACTGTTAAATAAGGAATTTCTACTGCGGAGCTTTGCCATGTTGATGTAAGCACAGAAATAGTGTGGAAAGAATGCTTTTTGGCAAGACATGAAACCAATCAGGTTGTATGTAAATCTGGATGTCGGGCATCTGTTATACTTATACATTTGTTTTTATACTCTGATCTGTTTAAACGCTGGCCAACGATGTCCCCTTATTTGGTGCGTTCACAAAAATGGCAGTTGATGACCCTTGTTAAGCCTTTTCTACTTTGCTGTTACTGCTGTTCATACTTGGCGTTAGTTACTTGTAGAGTTGGGGATACTTGGACTCCAACTCAAACTCGAACTGCGATTTATTAATGAACTTGGATTTGGACGGATTTTCACTCGAACTTGACATGGACGCAGACATTTTGGAGTATATACGATTCCACCTCATGTGCTGGATAAGGGTCGCTCCCCATCCACGCTCAAAGTCTATGTGGCGGCTATAGGGGCCTCTCATGTCCCTATTGAGGGCCAATCAGTTAACATGAAAGATAAAAAAATAAGTAAAAGCATAAAAATAAGACAAAAGACTTTGATAAACATCTCCCACACAAACTCAATTGGTTAAGGACTAGGACTCGACAAGGTGGACTCCGAGCCAACACTATAGTGATTTGAACAAACCCCTGAAACAAAGAATTATTTAGTGTGTAACCTGTCCAGTTACATTTGTATCAAAGCCTGTTTCCGCCACTGAATAAAAAAAATAAAGTAATTGAATCTTTTAATCTCACAATTCTCACAAGACTTTTTTTTCCTCAGAATTGCAAGACATATATTCGCAATTGCGAAAAATAAAGTCAGAATTGCAAGTTTATATCACGCAATTCTGACTTTCTCACAATTCTGATTACTTTTTTCAGAATTGTGAGATATAAACTCGCAAGGACCCCCCCTTTGAATTTTGTCATG